TTAAAAAAAAAAAAAAAAAAAAAAAAAAAAAAAGCAATAACAAAAACAAAAACGAACAATATTCTATCACCAATAATGAAACGTGATAACAGTCGTAAAAAAATAAAATAAAAAAACGAATTCTTAAGAAGATTTCTCAATATTATGCAAAGCTATAGACTGCGTTTTCACATAATGTTATTGTGTGCAGTGTTCCACTTGTAATATAAATATACTAAATAAATAATATTCTTACATTGGTAATATTACATTTTTTACCAGCAGTATTTCAATTGTTATATAAATCAAACATATTGCAATAATATTATGTGCATAGCAAAAAAAAAAAAAAAAATAATAAAAATATTAATAATAATGGAAATTAGATATTTCGGGGACCGGTATGCCACTGTTGTAGATGGGAAGGTAGGATACGTGAAGTAAATTAATTTATTCGTGTAAGTAACGATAGACAATTGCTAACGAAAAACGGTTCGGAGCGAAGTTCGGTTATAATATATTTGAAAAGCCGTTCTATTTACGATTTTCGTCGATATTTTATTTTAAAACTTTATGAAAAAATAATACTGCATTAAACTCGATGTTTATTTGACCACTAAATATGAATGTGCGCCGTGAATATTTGCCGTTTACCTACAATTTTTTTTTCGGCTTTCGCAATTATTTCGGAAAATCCTCTATTTAGATAAAATTCTAACACTCCGTTTAGAAGACAATTGGACTAGAGTGATACTTTAAAGAGGTTTTGTTTGTTTTTAAACTTTTAAACTTTTAAATTTTGTTTTTAAATTTCCCAGAAGTTATCATAATAAATTTGAAAATCGTAGGAAAAACGGGAACATATATAAAATATATTATTTTCAAATGGTAAATATTACGGCCAACGGCCTTTCAAAACATGTATAACCGAACTCCATTCAGAATCGTTTTTCGTTAGCAATGGTTAATCGTAGTGTACAGATAAACATTAAATTTCCCTTCTACCTTCCTAACTTCTTACGAACAACAGCGGTCCACCCATTGTGCGAAGTATGTTCGTTTGTTTTTTGTAATGATTCTTTTTTATTATAATATAATACAATTATTTTTTAAAATAATTTAAATTATGTATGTTATGTTAGTACCTGTTATTTATGTTACTACAGAAATAAGAATAAATAAGTCACTATATTGTTTATAATATTAAGTATATAGAATTTTATGATTAAACATATTATTTGGAATAATAATTTCATAAAGAACAATAACGCACAATGTCTAACCGAAATCGTCAAAAATATTTCAATACCGATAACAATAATTTGCAATGTCCAGGTGTCCAGGTCCATGATGATCCGGAAAATATTGACGTGAGTTCAGAATATATTTTTGAACTTAATTAACGCTTTTCAAAATGTTGTTTTATGTTTCGAGTGTAGCGAAGAATTCATTGGTTTTACGAAGATGTTAATCTGTTTATTTTTTAATTTTTTAAACTTGTGATCTACAATGATAGTATTTTTTTTTGAAAGGAAATCTGACTGGCGTGGTACTTTGAAGAGGTCATTTTTTTAAGTTCCTGGAAATTTTCCCAAAAAAAAAAAATTAGAAAAACTGAGGAAAAAGGGAAAATGTACGAAACATATTAGTAAAATAAGCAGTCTTAGAATAATAAGAACGAGTGGAGCCAATGTTTTAGTAGAAAAGCTGGAAAGCAGTAGAGAGGAAATTGAATGTATATCTGTAAACAACGATAAACCATTTATAACGAAAAAACGATTTTGAGGAAATTTCAATTGATAGTGTTGATTAGTCAACAATATATATGTTATATTATGGTTCTTAAATAGTGATTTATGAATATAAATTTTAACTACAAATCATTTATTGTTAAGATAACAATTGATCCCAAATTACACCCTATGAGCATTGGTAAAAGACGTGAAACAGTCGATAAGTTGCGTACAAAACAATACGTGAAGATACAAACACCCCAAAAAGGTGAAATTAGAAATCCAGATACAGTAAAACTCGACAGATACCAACAGGACTTAAACGATATGAAAAAGGAAATTTTTGATATGGTTGACCAACGTGTAAGATTTATTATTTATTTAATAAATATGATTATTGATTGGTTAATCAATAATCATTTTTTAATCAAATATTTATATATAATCGGTAATTTAAAAAATAAAAATAACATAATAACATATATATTAAGTTTTCGAAACCAGACAGTACTAATCCAGAGTTATTCGTATTATATCCGGAATACGGATTTACACAACATGACGTTAAGAAGTGTATTAATCATTTATAGACGATTCAAAAAAATTCGTAATTTTTTTTTGTGAGCACTTTGGTTTAGATTACCGTTTAAAAATATCTGTGAATCACAATAATAGTTATTATTTTTTTAATGTATTGATATTGTTACTATTTTTATTTTTTTATTATTATAGATAAATTATTTAATGGAGAATATGACAAAAGCTAAATTAAATACGAAACCTGTTGAAATGTGTTGTTCTAACAGTAATCAAAACCCTAAATGTAGTTTTGATTTTTTAATGGGTAACGGCGATCAGTGGAAAAGACCTCCTACAAATACAGATAAAATCAATATTACTAGAGAATTTCAGTTGTCTGTTAGTTCTAAAGCCAACAAAAATAGTGATGTCTCTTCGGTTCAGACCGAATTTCAGAATTCTAGTAAGTGGGCATCGTTAGTTATAATTTTAAATTTTTTTTATCAAACCATCGATTTCAATATTATTAAGTATTATTTTTTTTTTTTTAATTACTTATATAATATTCGAACTATTAATATTTTCCCTTTTTTTTTTTACAAAACTGATAAATTTCTTTTTTGATTTGGAATGCAAAAATAATATCACAATATATGATTAAAATATTTAATTTATTTATTCAATCAGTTTTATATTATAATATAATATATAATATATATATTATAATATTATAATATATAAAACCGGATTTATGTTTTATATGAAAACGGAATGACTTTTTTTTCATTTTTGTTATATTTTCATTTTAATAAATAACTTATGCGCTAACGGAGCAAAAAATAGCAGTATAATTTATATCCCTGGTTTCAGTGACTTCTCCTGAGCACATCTGATTTTGTAAATTCTCTATTACCTTCTTCGTTTTAATGGGGCCAATGTTTTTATAAAATATGTTTTTTGTATTTGGTGATATTTTGATGAATCTCAAAGAGTATTTTAGAGAAGTATTTCAAGAGCCCCCCGACCATTTTGATAAAAAAAAAAAAAAAAAAACATGTATAATGAATGTGATTGTTAATTGTTTATTTACAATCGTGATTTTGGTAATTCTTCAAATACTTTTTTACATATCTGTATATGTATATATGTGCGGGAAAAAAGACATGTAGTAACGGTTTTATTCCTTGACCATGGTTCTTCTATGCCCACATCAGCTCTTTCCAAGATGGCTTGCCGACCGACGGTCTTGTGCACGTCACTGATGCTTGGGTTTGATCGAATAGAAGCCCAGCCACTTCTCCCACATTTTCCTTGGTTTTTTTTCCCCTCTTTACTGAATACCAGTCCGATTGGAATAAAACTCATACTCTATATTTTCCTGTTGTGGATCACAAATTTAATTGTTGGTAAAACTCCATTTTGATATATGGTTTTTCTCCAAGAGCTGCGTCCTGATTCATTTCTTGATTTCCGGTTCTACCATTCTACGGAGATTTTCCATAGATGGTATAAGGGTGGTGTCCACCCCAGGGTTCTTCATCTTACTAGTGTATTTTTATCAATTTTTGACATGAATAAATTTGTGGACTGTTTTCTGACATTATAACTCGGAGTCAGGAGGTATCTTAAGTTTCTCCTCATTGACGCCCTGCAAATCAGGTTCTCGATAACGCATCCACAGGATCAGGTATGTATATCACTTCGAAAACATACGTCTTCAGCTGCCTAGTCTGATGTGTCAGTTTTTATTATTGTGCAGATATTCTCCTCTTTGACTGCTAGGTAGTGGGTTCGTGCCAATTTCTGGCTCGCATAACTAATTATCTTCCTCTCCTTCAGGGAGTTCTTCTTCTGGAATAGTACCACCCCAACACCCACTTCATTCAAGTCTGTTTGTAGACAAAATAGCTTGGTATAAATCCTGTTGGTTTGACATTGGTGCAACTTTTATAGTAGTTTTCAGTTCATCGAATTGTTGATTTTGTGCGAAAACTATGTAATGCATTATTTTCAAAAGGCTATTTTATCAATTTTACAGTCAAGTCGCGATAACTCGAAGTTAAAGGGGAAAAAAAATTCACTTCGAGATATGTATTATTTGAGATATCCAACTCGAATTTATCAAAATTAAACACAAATTTCGAGTAATTTAATATAATATAATTTAAAAATTTGACGATAAAAAACGTTATGATAAATATTTGTACATAAATGTTATACAAAAACTAAAATGGTATTATGGGTATGTACATTTGTATTATTTACAAGATACAGCAGAGAAAAAAAATGGGTGCAGGGAGGTACTTCAAGGAGGTAATTTTTCGATTTTCTCAAGAGTTTTCTCATCGTATGTGAAAATCCGAAAGAAAAATAAATGAAGAAATACGGGAAAATGTACGAAATATATTTGTATAATGTGTAATATACTTAGCTATTTATTAAAATTTTATATTTGAGTTGAGATTTTTATAATACATCGAGTGTTATGATAATTTCTAGGGGAATAAAAACTAATCGAGTTATCGAGTTTTTCGTGTATTAAAGTTCGATTTATGGCGACTTGGGTGTATTATAAATGTATAGTGTTAAGTATTAATAAATTTATTAGATATTTATAGTTAATTTTTTAACTTGTATTCCATGTACCTATTTTTCCCATGTTAACCATATATTGCTTTTTGAAACAAATATATTAATGACACAATTCGAATTTAATGCCTAGTATTAAACAAATTTAAGCAAGACAATGGAGGCATTGATAGTAATGATTTGAAATGTACACCATTAGCAGATTCCAAAATATTACAGTCTAAAAAAGGCGAAACCAATGAAGGGAGCAAATCCCAGGTTGCTGAATCAATGGTCACACAAGTAATTTGTTTTATTGTTTTTTCAAATCATTTTTGTACATGTTTTAGATAATTTCAATAGTATTGAGTATTTGGAAGTCTGAATGGGATAAATGATTCTGAGCGAAATTCGGTTATATAAGTTTTAAAAGGCCGTAATATTTACGATTTTAGTCAAAATTTGATATTAAAATTTAAAAAAAAATTTGACATTAAACTCAACTTTTTCATGTTGATTACTAAGTACAAATTAAAATAAATCTCCTCTTCTCTTCAAGAATTTCTGTTTTTTCTAACAATTATATCCACAGAGTGCCTACCGAATAAATATTATGAAAAAAAAATAGTAAAATTAGAGTGTCTATAAATTTTCAAAAAATCTACCACGTTTATTAAAGGAAAATATAACATTTCTTTCCAATTATAAAATATCTACGGAGATTTTTAACTCAATGAAAACAAAAAAAATAAAATTGAAAATAATAAAAGCATTCTTTTCGTAAATTGTCTCATTTTTCTATTATTTTTCCTGGTTTTCCCCAAATAAGTATCATAACCCTTTGAAAATTAAAGATATGATCTCCTTAATATATCACTCTAGGAAAATTTTTCTTTTAGAAAAAGTACTACACATGAAAATCGAAGTAAGATTTCCGGTAAAATTATTGTACACACTAAAACTGTAAAACCAACACATTTCTTTACTCAGAATCTAAAATAATTTTATATTATTTTGATTAGATGATTACTATTTCTCGTCAAGATAAAAAATATCAAAAGAGTGAAATAATAGACAACACTGAACAAACGAATGTTTGCAAGAAAATTTCAAGAGAAACTGGCGTCAAGATTGAGATATTCCCTGAAAAGGACAACTCAACTTTTTTATTAAATGGTAATAAAGATGGTGTTGGTGTAAGTAAGCTCAAGATTGCTGCAAATTTCCCGATTAAGGTAAATTACTTTTTCATTAATATTATAGTTATACTTAAAAAATGTCCAATAGTTAAAAAAAAATTAACCTATGTAAATATGCGGAATAAATGTGTGTTAATTTTTTTAATGTACTAGTTATCAAATGTCTTTTTAGGAAAAAATTATTGAAATTGTATTAAATGTACCTACTAAATATCATTCATATTTTCTTAATCGGCAAGCCGAAGTCAAAAAGCAAATAATTTCAGAAAATAATGGTGTTTCTATTGTTTTTCCTCCTATGAATAGTGTTTTTAGTGGCGTTTTTATTAACGGTCCCAAATATTTCGTTAAAAAAGTAAAAAATAAAATCAATGCAATCGTAAACGACTTGGTAATTTCATTTAAATACTGATTAGTAATTACAGTTGTTTTAATTGATTGTGATTTAATAAATTTTTATTTTTAGGAACAACGTGATGCTAATGAGTATCGTGATATATCTCAACAAGACTGTGTATGCGCTAGTTCAATCGATAAAGAGCTGATTACTATTGAAGTAAGTTTGGAATATTTTATTTAAACATTTTTTACGATTTTAAAAATGTTATTTTTATAGATTATTTAGCTCTTATTATCGTAATTATTACTCATTTATTATTTAGATGACCATTGATCCGGAATTACACAGTATGATCATTGGCAAAAAAGGTGAGACAGTCGACAAAATGCGTGCAAAATACGACGTGAAGATAAAAATACCCCAAAAATGGGAAATTATTAATCCTGATAGTGTAAAAATCGTCGGATATAGACAGAACGTAGAGAATGCGAAAAATGAAATTCTCAAAATGGTCGATCATCGTGTAAGATTTAATTTTTAATTTACCAAGAGTGATAATTGTTTATGATATTTATAATTGCTGGTTAATTTAAAAATTATGTTATTTTGTAGAAAAATTGTTACAAAAGAAAAATTTTCATTGAACCCCAAATTCTTTCAAGGATAATTGGTTTTCAGTGGTCCCGTATTAAAAAGACCATGGACGAATATCACGTATATATTAAACAGGACAGTGCTAATCCAAATTTGTTTACATTATATCCGGAATACGGTTTCACACGACATGAAGTAGAGAGGTGTATGAAATATTTACACACGATTCAAGAAAAATATGTAATTTTATTTTCAGAGCTCATTATTTAGATAAGAAGAAGAATAAGAATTATTTTTCTAATGTATTGATTTTGTTAAATATTATTTTTTTTTTTCATAGATAAATGATTTAATCGAGTGTAATCAAAAGTCTCAAGGTAATGCTACATATGTAATGGGTAACGATGATCAGTGGGAGAGAACTCAAGCAAATACAAATACCAATTCTACTAGAAATTCCCCATCGTTTGTTGGTACGGAAAACATTCAACAATAATTGTTTCTTTAGTTAAGATAAAACTTCACAGTTGCGAAAAGTGAACATCATAAGTTATTATTTTCAATTTTTTTTATCGTTAGACACCTATTTATTGACACCAATGTAACCATTGGTGTCAATATTATTATTACTTTTATTTTTTCGATTATTAATACTCTATAACTATTAATATTGCTTTTTTTTTTTAAAAAAAAAACTGACAAATTTTCTTATTATTTGTAAATAAATATGATGTTTATTCGATCAGTCGTACATTATAATCAATTCTCAAATTGGAAAAAATTAAGTAGAGGAGCTCAATCTAACGATTTAAAAACTGCTTTCCAAGTGCAAAATCACATAACACAGACCCGTGGGGAACTTTTTTGTTGTAATCCATTTATAAATACATGTATAGACTTTTTACTCGGTAATAATACTTATATTGGACTTATCTAGACGTGGTAAAATTTTCAAAACGTTTATTAAAAAAATATAGTCGTCCGATGATTTTGAAAATTTTAACGAAAGTCGCAAAAAAAAAATTACGACACTTCAAATTATGTATTACCGAACTGCGCTTGGAATCGTCTTTCGTCAAGTAATGGTTTATCGTTGCTTACAGATATAAATCAAATAGCCTTATGTATCTTACCTTCCCAAATTCCCGTAAAGGAAATAGACTAGTATATTTACCATATAATTTGCTTATTATGTATGACACTTATTTCCACATGATTAATCCCTTAAATCGGTAGAACTTGTGTGATTCTAAACATAATTTATTATGTATTATGTATTAATTTATTTAATGTTTTAACATAATTGTTTTACTAATAAATATTATTTTGTTTAGACCAAAAAAGCAATTGATATTCTAAAAGAGGCCAGTGTCAACCTTATTCAATAACCTCAAAACCAGACGATGAGGGATCCCATGTCAAACAAATAAGATTGATTCACTGAATTTTTTCGACAAATGTTTCATTTATCAAATTTATATATGTCTTAAATAAAGTACTATAATAGACAACAATTTTAGAACTCGAGCATAGTTCACAATCACGTGAAATATTTTTTTATTATCAACATACTATATAACATATTGGTTATTTTAATTTCATTTTGGACGTTTAAATTGTTTTATACATGTGTGTATGGGGCCGTGTCTATAGAGTTAGATGAAAAGGTACGTACGCATCAACACTTCGATAACATAGGTAACAAATTTTTACAATAAACAGGTTTAACTTGGCACTGCATATATGCAAAAACGTTTAAAACATACGGTCTTGATTAAAACGATTTGCAACCCTAATAACGATTCACTATGTCGTGTACTTGGCCTCATTAAACTATGACAGTTTTGAAGGTTTGTGTCACACTTGTTTTTCTTAAATAGTTTCGATTTGGTTATTTTTCCGAGTTGTTATCCAAGATTATTGTTATCATTTTGCGAGTTTTTACGCAATTTTAATTTACTAAATTGATACAATTGTTAGACTAAACAGTTATGTTTGAAATTTCAACAGGCGGTTCATTATAATCTATGTTTAATGTTCAAAACAAAAATTGAGTTAAATACATTAGGTTCTTTTTTCATAAGCGTTTTAAGATCAAACTTTGATGAAAACCAGAAAAAAAAAACAGTATTTTAAAATATTTCTTACCGAACTTCACTCCGAATAGTTTTTCGTTAGCTTTAGGTTTGTTGTTGCTCACAGACAGAAAATAAATAACATAATTTATCTTAACTTACCAATTTTCCATTTAAAATATTGGCACACCCGTCCCCAGTATCAGGTTTTTTTATTTACAACCAAGTACAATTTATAAATAAATTCTGTATTAAATTAACAAACATTTCTTTACGGTAAAAAAATTGTGTTCCTGCCAAATAAGAACTGAAAAAATCGAGAATTTCAAAGCATATAAACAGTTCAAAAATCAGAAAAACATTTTGAAAACCACGTCTCTCACCAATTCTAGTAAGTATTCTGTTTGTTTTATCGATTATTTTCAATTATTAAAAAAAACTACTTGACAAATCAAAAAATGAATTTCTAACTGGTTAATTAAACAGAATTTTATTTTAAAAGAAATGACACTCTTGAATTTTGGAGCGAGATTTTTTTTAGAAAACAAAATTAGAAAAATGTAATATTATAAAAACATTACACCGTGAATATTTGTAATTACACACACACAATAACACAATATATAGTTAATCAATACATTCGTTAGTACGTTTAATAACGATAAAAAAAACCAGTGCAGCAAAGGTCAGTCAACTAGAATCAATTTTGTCCTGTATCTATCTAATATTATGGAACTTTGATAATATACTATACTATATTATAATATACTGAAATTTTGTCATAAAAATGATCCCATTAGCTTCATTGAGGAATCTGTAGAGGTTTAAAACTCTAAAAAAATATCCTCCTCACCAAAAAATATAAAAAATCAAATTTATATAGAAATTTAATCAAAATATAGGTACGCATCATTTCAGTTTCCTTATAAAACAAACTAATGAGCACATTTGAGCTCATTCAGTCAAACCGTTACTAGAATGACCAAAAGTAGCAGTAAATGTATATTTTATAACAGACTTAATGCAACGCAATAGAATCTATTTCCGGGAAAATTCAACAAGAGTGGTAAAATGTTATAAAAGAAACAGGGCGTGGTTTTTTTATTATTATTTTTTTTTTGGGGGGGTAGAAAGCTTAACAAACCGGTGAACTCGTTCAGAATTCTACAACCAGTTGCTAATAATGTAGGCATCTTAAATTATAGTTTACTAATTTATATTGCGGAATGACATATTTTTGTTAATGATGAGTTTTCCAAGTAAGTAATAAAAAAATAATATTATTGTACTAAACTTTTATTCTCATTTAATAAAATGCAATGTAATACGATTGTTTACTGCACATTGTGTCGAACAATTATTTTGAATTAAATTATAAATAGCGTTATAAAGGTGCTCACCGCGGCGATATGTTGTTTTAGCCTGTTACATGTTTCGTTCGACTGGATCAAATTACACAGCACGTTATTCGAGTATATACCTGGGGCAGATAGCATACAAACGCATTTATTCATTCAAAGTCTCGTTGCACTTCCCGACGTTAATTCCCACGGCGGTGACTGGGTACTGTTTTAGATTCTGAATGAAGCGAGGAATGTATTTCTCTCTATTTCGTTTTATTGCAATGAGTTGTTTTTTTTTTTTTCATTACGTCTGTACACATTATCCTACCACATAATCTTGTTTTGGAAAATTCTTAAACTAGTATATACGTTGAGGAAGTCGTGTTTCGATTTTACTTGTAGTTTTCGCCATAAATCGAAAAAATTGGTCATTGTTGGCTATAATTTTTGTTAATTTCCGGGTTACAATTTCGGTAACAATGAAAAAGTATAACTCATAATACATTGCTCAAAAACATTTTTCATTAACAATGGTTTATCGTAGTGGAGACATAAATTAATTCAGTCGGTATAATATCCTGCGTTTCAACTACTCTACTTTAATAGTTGCCCATCAATCAAAAATATCAGCCCTAAACTTCTTCAAATTGTAAACGAAAAAAACGGATATATTTCGCACGTGGGTGAGCCACTGTTGTAGGTGGAAAAGGTAGGTGGGAAGTTGAGAAGGTAAAGGGAAAATTCAATGTATATCTCGACACAATGATAAATCATTGCTACCGAAAAACGATTCTGAGCGGAGTTCGATTAATAGTGTAGTTTTGTCACTAATATACAGAGTAATTCACTAAGCGTGCATTTTTTTGGTTGAATTTTGCATATATTCAAATTCTGATTTTTGGAATTTTTAAGCCAATATTTTTGAATACTTTAATTTTTCACAAAATTTAAGAAGTTTCCTGCAGGAATACCAATTTTGATATTTCAAACGAGAACCTATGTTAAAAATTCCATAAACAGATTGAGTATTGCTTTAAACAAATTCTGTTGTTGACATTTTTTGATTTCCGTCAAATTGCGTCGTATGGGGAGAGTACTGTAGTGTCATTTATGTGGTGGCATGGCGCGTGGCGTTTTATTAGTGCTCCACATTTTTAATATAGATTTTTATTTGAAAAACTAAGTTGATAGCACCACAGGATACTCCATAAATGTTGTGAAAAATACAAGTAGAGTAAAACTTCAAAATAACGGTCACCGAAGGGACCGGAAATAATGACCGCTATTTAGAGGTTACCGTCCCTTAGAGGTTTTCTATAGAGGCATAACACTTGACGGGACCTCAAAAAATGACCGTTACACAGAGGTGACCGTTAACGGAAGTTTTACTGTGTTCGAAATTATCGGCTTTAATTACACTTTAAAATTCTAAAAATTAGAATTAGAATTTATACAAATTTGACAAAAAAAAATCGAATGAGCATGCTTAATAAATCATTCTGTATAATGACATATTGTGGTAAAATAATTCCATATTATGCATCATATATATTCTATAATAATATTTGTTTGATATTGTACCTACTTTTCCGTTTTTCTTAGGTTTTTTTTCCCGGTTTTTCCCATGTTTCCTCGTTTTTTTTCACGTTTTTTTACCAAAACAACTGGGAATTAGCTTTCTAAAGTACTACCCCAGTCAAATTTTCTATCAGAAAAAGTGCTATCGTATTTTTTTGAATTTTGCTATTTATAATTTATTTACTGACTATAATTTCTGTACTTATAACATAAAGCCATTAATGGAGAAAGTCATTTTGTGATATCTAAAGTATTTTTTTTAATAATTGGGAAGAACCAAAAATACTACTTTTTTCAAATTTCAGCACAATGATTTCATTATTTTAAATTTGTACGGCTTGAGTTATCCAACAAAAATATTGCTGCGACAGAAAAATGACAAGATAGCTTTCTTGTTGAATTTTTAATTTCGTTCGTGTGCCAGTGCGATTATTGATTTTTGTGAATTTTAAGTGGTTTAAAAACCACGAAATCGACGAAGAATGTGTTTTATTAAAAAT